GTATTATAGCTATAATGCTATAAGTAATAACTATTTTAATAAATATTTATATTATTAAATAGAAATAAAAAAAGTAAATGTTTCTTAACTAATCCAGTATTAATATCAAAATATTTAGTTAGATAAGATTTTTGTAAATAAACAAATCAAATTTCAAAGATTAGATAAAATGTTATACAATTAAAAAAATTTAAAACAATTATTTACTTTATTAAAAATTATTCATAACTTAAAAATTTATATAGAAACTACTTTTAGTATACTAGCAAAAAAATTTTTTTTAAATAATTTTATTATTAAACCTTTTTAATTTTTATATTAGTATAAATCCTAATTCTAACTTAAATAAACTTTAAAGAATTTTTAGTTCTTATATGATTGCAATATTTTGATAATAATACTAAGAAAGATAATAATATTAATAATATTATAGTTAATATATAATTGATTATTAAATTAAGATTTTATTTTTTATATAAGTAATTAGTTATATAAAAAATAAAAAATATTTAAATACTCAAGTATTATTATTAAAATGTTTAAAATAAATATTTACTTTGTTAAAAATTATTTATAACTTAAAAATTTATATATATAAAAATTCTCTTTTAGTATACTAATAAAAAAATTTTTTAAGTAATTTAATTATTAAATCTTTTTTAACTTTAATATTAGCATAAACTCTAACTCCAATCTAAATAAACTTTAAAGAACTTTTAGTTCTTACTTGACTGCAATATTTTGATAATAATACTAAAAAAGATAATAATATTACAACTAATTTTAAAACTTACAATAGATATCTTAGTTCAAAATAATTAATTTATAAACAAAATTATTTTATAAACAATTAATTTATAAATAAGTTTATTTTATAACCAGTTTATTTTATATACAAACTTATTTTATAGATAATAAAATTATAAATCACTTATTTCAAAAATAATTTATTTTTTATTTTAATTTTTTGTTTTTGCTAAATTTAATATTAATAATAACTATTGTCTTTATTATATTGTTAATTATATATATAACTTATATAAGATAAGTATACAACTAACCATATATATAACTTTTAATTATTTAGTTAAATAATTCATTTACAGGTTTTATATTAGCTGTCATATTTATAATCTGCTAAGAGATTATTTAATTAAATACTCTAATCTTTATACTATATCTAATAGATAATATATTAGTTTTTATATATCTAAATAGCATCTAATCTAATATTTAGCTTTTCTTTTTGTATATTTATTAAGCTGTTATTTATTTTAAAACATAGCATCTAACTGTAAGACTTAGTGTAATCTCTGTTAACTAATTACTACTCTATAAACTATTAATAGTATTATGTTTTTATAGAATTTACTCAAACTCTAATATTAAATTTATAACATATTTTTAATATTTTTAGTATATCTCTGTTTTGATTTTAGATTTTCAATTCAAATAATTTAATAGAACTATAATCTGTTCTTAAATAGGGTGGAGTCAATAGAAATGAGACAAATTTATCTAATAGATTTGTTCTATTTTTATTAACTCTATTCTATATATTAAGTCTAGTCTAATATCCTTTTTTTTAGTTTAAATTTTAACAACTTAGTAATATTCTCATTTAAAGGTTCTTGTTTGTTTAATTTTTTTATATTAATATTTATTTTTTAAGTCTAGTTTTTATAGTAATATTATTAAATATTTGTATTATTTCTTTACTTAAATCTTCTTAAATAAACTTTTGTTTTTTTAGTTCTATAGATTTATATAATTACAAAGACTTATTTTATATTTGTACTACCTAATACTAATTTGCATTTCTCTGTATAATAAAGCTATACAAAAATCTAAAGTTTTATTAGTAGTAGGTTTTGAACTTTTAATCTGTTACTTGAAAAGGTAACAACTTATCAACTTTACTAAATTGCTATATTCTTAAAGATAATTTATTTTAAAAACAAAACAATTTTATTTTAAAAACAGTTTATTTTAAAAGTATTATTTTAAAAACAAGTTTATTTTAAAGACAATTTTATTTCAAAAACAGTTTGTTTAAAAAATAGTTTATTTTAATAATGATTTATTTTAAAGACAAGTTGGTTTCAAAAATAAAATATAATAAGATTTGTATTATTAATTTATTAACAATTAATTCATAAATAAATATATTTTATTTTACTAATAGTTTATTTTAACAAGTATTTTTATAAATTAAACTTTAACTTTAAATTTGATTCAAATATTAATAATTAAAATTATTTTATTAACTTGTAATTGATAACATAGTAGTTAGCATTCTTGAGTCATAATCACAAGATCATAAGTTCAAATCCTACTAGGTAACAACAACTTTACTAAGATTATAATTGAAAGATCTTCGGAAGATTTTTCATTAAAGAAAAAAACAAGATTTATATATAAGAATGCAATTTGCTAACATAACTACAGAGTTAAGAACAACCAAAAAAAATGAATTCATCAACAAATAACATTAACATTAAGAAATCTAGTTAAAGAACATTAGATATAAAGAATGATCTGACTGGTGGATCATGTGAAGTTAGAAAAATGTAGACTAAATAAAAAGATAGTAGGTCCTACATCATGAAGCCAGAGATCTAGGACATTATATAATGAACTTAACAGAGTATGAGCTATCTCCACAAGTATGATAATGAATATGGAGGCCACATGCCATCTGATGATTTTTGTAAATAATAACTCTGACCTTTAAAGAGATGTGACAGATTTTAAAGATGTCCAAAGACCTTCAGGATAGCAGAAAGAGGAGAAAAAAAATACTTTATTATTTCAAAAAGAACCTATTTATATATGAGTACTGTCAAAAAAACCTGAATCTGAAAATTGTAACTTATTATTTAGTGAACTTAGGCCTTAAAAAACTTATTAATAATTCATCAGTAATGTATTTAATGGTATTATATATCTTGATTATAATTAACCTTGTTTTTTTTTATACCAGAAAACTGTTATTATTGATAAATTGCTAATAATCTTGCAGAAATTAAGTTTACTAAATAATAAACTACAATTTTCAGATTCAGGTTTCCTTCAGGTTTCTTTTAGTAGCATTTATATAATCAGTCACTTAATCCTCCTAGTATAACTGCCAAAATTATCAATGAAACTCTAAGATCAGATCATTATAATTATTAGCTAAATTCAAATACAATTAAAAAATAGTGTAAAATGTTTTTCATAGTAAAAAAAGTTCAAAAAATATGATTTTGAGATAAACAAGCTAATTATAGTTGGAAATTGTATTTATTTGTTAATAATAACGGGTAATATACAATTATCCTAACCATTTTTTATGCCAATTTTCTTATTGAAATTTACCTAAATTTTACAAAATCTTATTGACTTCTAGGTCAGTTTGATTCCTTTTTACTGCAAAGAATAAATTGATTTGTCTTTTAAAAATGTGACTAATAAATTTAATAAGCTTTGATAATATTTCAATGAAATACATAAATTGTATCAAATGTAGTTTTAAGTAGTAGTTTTAAGTAATCGTATTGCAATATAAATTTTTATTAATCGAAGTTATCCATGCTCTTATAAGATGTCTTACTTTAAAGGTTTTATATTGTGCAAAAAATAACATTTCTAAAAATAAAGTTAAACTTCATAAATCCTGGTGGACTCCAAAAACAATGAAAACAGCTGTAAAAAAATTAAAAGGGATATGAGAGGTCAGTTAGTGATATGAAACCCGAAAAGATAAGTTTGTATGGCCTTATCAAACTAGCCCAAAATTCTAACACAACACTAAAAAAAAAATGTAAAAATAAAATTTTAAAAATTCATATCAAAATATATTTTTGATTATTTGATGTTACACATCCCAATAAACTATAAAAGCTATTTGAAATGGTAAGCTTTATTTTTATTGATGGTTGCTCAATATTGCATTCAAAGATTTAATTGATTAAAATGATAATGTTTTCACAAAGAACCGGATTTTAGTAATTTTATTATGCAATTAATTAAAATTGTTTGAATATACCCTCTAGATTAGTTGAGCTACACAATTAAAATTTAAGAATACTTTGCCTCCAAATTATATAAATTTAAATTATAAATAAGATGAATTGAAGATATTGTCACGGGCGGGTTAAAAGTGACATAGATGAGAATGATGTACAAGATTTATTTCGACCGAAGATAATTGAGAATGATTAGGTCATAGACAATAACGTAAAGGTGAACCTTTCTATAGTCTTTTAAAAAGTTATTTAAAGGATGTAACTTGGGGCACATAGGACTACTAACCGATGTTAAAGCTCCTATTACCCAACATTACTATTACAAATATTGCTAAATCACCAACGTCACTCCTCTGGTAAGTGCCTTATAATACGATTCTATCGTTTATTTAAGTCCTGACAATTTACCCATAACAATATATGGCATTGATTAATCAGTGTTTTGTATCACAAAAAGCAACATAATATATATACCTTTACTAAAAGAATTATGGCAAGCACTGATCATTAAAGCTATTGGTCGGAAATTCGTATCCCGCCTGTCTCCATGTTGTTAGATTTGGATTCGTATATGCATTAAGATGCCTATATATTAACGTACACAGAAAATTATTACACATGATCTTATTAAATACCGTATTTTCGCGCAATAACGTCCACCTGCGTGTTATTTGAAAATATGTACGTTACTTCGAGTACACGTATGAGAGTTATTTTGAGATATGTAATTGACTAATTTACATCTCAAACATGCATGTTATTTCGAGGTCATGCATATTATTTTTAAATAACGCTTATGGGCATTATTACGCGAAGACGTGTAAAGATTCAAATACTTATTGCATGAAGTTGTCGCTTCCCTGGAATTACCATTCCAGACATTTGAAATAGCACCTATTTGGAATTACTATACGTGCAAGATGATTCAAATTTCATGTGTTTGAAGTAGCAACTCCTGATGACAACTTCAGGCATAACATATATATATATTTACTTTCTAATATAATCAGAAGTAGGATGATCTGGAGGATCACATGATACCTTGACCTTTAGTGGATCCTGATAAACTCGTACATAGTCTACATACATAGTTGAAGGGAATTCCAGATTTCTGAAATCTACTTGACTGAATTCTTCCGACATGCCTAAATTAATAATGATAGACTACAAAGAAATAATTTGGTAATTTTTTAGATGGTTTAAAACAAATTTTGTTATAACAAATTCATATACCATTGGCTCTTCGCTTATTATTCTTTGACCTATGTCATTTATCTTACTCGGACCAACGGCGCTAGCATTCATTCTCCACGTGAGTTGATCGCCAACAAACCAACTTATGTATCCATCAGGCCCAGGCTCATATTCAAAGGCATATTTTTCATACACACGGTTGTTATAAATTTCATTATTAATCGTTGTCAACGAACTGACAGCTTGCTGCCACACTCCACCAACGTAGGTGTTGAATGTTGTCACATTTGGGTTATCTATATAAATAAAACTCTTATTGATCATACGATTTGCGTCAAAAGGTGCAAATTGGGCAGATTGCGATATATGGTTTTGACCATCACCATCAATGGTTGCTTCAAATACATCAATTTCTGGAGCACCACGACCTTTACCGGGTGATGGATGATCTTGACCTGGGCACGTGCATTTGTTAAGACGTTGACCAGGAACATATGAAAATGTACCAGATGTATCGGATTGATTGGGTGTGATACCCACATCACAATTATCGTAGCTATATGGCCAAACACCATCCGTCGTAGCACCATAACCAGGGCGACCCAAATTACCAAGGGTCCATACACTTGGCCAAAATCCTTGAGTTTTGCCATCACCTGGAAGTGAAACCGAAACTAAAAATATATATACATTTAAATAATATTTATAAAAGTTTAAAGTTAATAGGAAAGAAAGGACGTGGTAGTAGAAACTAAATACCTTCTAATATCCCTCCTTGAAAGCAAAACTTATTCCAACTTTGCAGCATCCCTGATTTATAATTTAGCCCACGAATAATTTCGTTTGTGATAGTAATTTGAAGTTTTCCATCTTTGGTAGTAACCATATCAGGTGAATACCATTGCAAATCATTCGTAAGCCAATAATGAAGATCAGCAGCTTCCCTGTTTTAAGGAATATAGTAAATAATTTTAATACACATTGTTTGTAATCCGTTTCTTTTCTAGACAATTTTATTTGAAGCAAGTCAATTGTATTCTTTGTTTAAAACTAATTAGCGGGTCAATATGGTACAGAATATACAGCACCTCTTTGAAAAACCATGCCATACTGGACCCACTATTATATAGTATTAGGATTAGGAACTATAGCTGACTAGTGTGATTTTTTCTGTATACCCACATAATGATTTTGTCATTAATACCAATCTGCTATAATTCCTATAAAAATCGCCTAGACTTGCAATTGCTTGAAATTGAAAATTTTATTATTTTTGTGAATCACTAATATAGTTGAATACAAAATTGCCGAATTACAGGGTTGGCAATGGAGCCAATGGAGCTAAATGGTTACATGAATGGAGCTCAAAAAACCAGTATACATTGGCTCCATCCGTAGCTCCATTGAGTTCCATTGCCAACCTTGAGTAGAACTAATCTTGGCATACATTTGAGCGCAACTTATATTGCCGCAGTACATTATTTCCGTATTACAACGCGGTAACATACTGCGGCAATGTGGAATTTCGTAAATTAATTTAGTTGTTAACTATAATCATTAATGCATACCAGTATAGATCATCTCCAGGTCTAAATGTCCTACCATCCTTGTTAAATTCATCAGAAAACACAAGCTTATAAATGGACCCGTCGCTCGCTATTTTAGTATGTGCTGATTCAGGAGTATCAATGTCAACAAAATCAAGCAAAGTTCCGGCGATTCGAGTTGAGTTTTTACCAGACTTTTTTAACAATTCGTTATTCACTATAGTGGTATACACCGGATAAACTACCATCAGACTTAGCATACCTCCAAGGATGAGCATCAATGCGCCCACATTTAAGCAACCTCGTCTCGAAAACAATACACACTTTCGATCATTTGCACTTTTGTCTATATTATGTAATTCATCATCCGTGTTATCATCATCCCATAGTAACGGTCCGGATACTGGTGTGATATTATATCCATCAGATACAGAATGACCTGATGCGCCATTTGGAAAGTGAGTGGATGTAGTAGCAGTAGTTGGAGTTTCTACAAGGCTTCCGGGAGGAAAAGAAAATATTGAATTAGAAGAACCAGAATCATAGTGGTATTGGATCATATCAGGATAATGGGTATCTCTCGGATAATTAGATCTAGTAGGTTGAAATGAGGGGGAAACGGACGTTATTGGAGAACCAGAAGAAATTAAGGAAGATTGTGATGACAATAGCTCATTTTGATAATGAGTTGTTTGATTCTGTGATCTGGTCATATTAGATCTTACGGTGAAACTTTAATAATCTAATGACAAAAGGTAATGTATAATAATATTAATACAATGATTGTTCAAAGACCAAATGACTGCATTGCAAACTTGTCAGTTAATAGTTATTTAAAAAGCTTTTATTATCTATTCTTGGAAAGTCGTTTCGCGTTAAGATGAAAAAAAAGTGAAGAAAAATTATTTGAAAATCAATTCTAACAATATATCAATTTACAATAAGTATCTATTTATCATACATAACAGTCTACACTATTGATCAATTCGTTAGACGCCTCGGCAATAACTTATCAGAGTATGATTCTGCCAACAAATGAATAGACACTTTTCAACAAAAAACATGTCATTCTTATCTATTAGCATCTTAAAACAAAATTTAATTAAAATTGTTCTAATTTCGTATCTGAGTTATTTAAGTAAATTCCCGGGAAAACTTATATACGATGAGGCTTTATAAATAACGTTTATCATGGTGAACTTAGCCCTTCTGGAGAATTAATACTAATAACAAACTGGATTCCTCAGTTTTACACTTTAAAATTAAACCAAAAAGTATATACTGTACAGTAACTCGCAATTTATTTTTAAATGAATAATCAAAATCTTTCTCATAAAATTATCGATCATTAAATGTTTCATTGATCAATTATACATCAGTTGGAAGTTTTATTAAAAATTCAAAGTTCATATTAACTCTTATAAATAGGAAATGAGTTTTTATCAATGAATAAAAGTTATTTATTATGTTATAATTTACCAGTTGGTCTTGTTAAATTGATAAATTCATCAATTAAAGAATTGCTGGTAGAATTTTTGACTATCCAAAAAAAAAAAAACCAGCCCAATCACAAATGAATCAAGATTTAAGATCAGTGAATTCTCACCACTCAAAATAATCGACTTAGGTGTTCAGATGTTAATTTATAACCGGGTCTAACCGGTTGATTATAACCGGCTGCATTTGATTTATACCAGATTCGTATCACAAGAATTAACCGATCAAAACATTAAATTCTCGGTATTACGAATAGTAGTGGTGTATGATTTAGTAAAGTAGTGGAATATACTGATTTGAGTATATAAAATTAGCATACTAGACTCATAATCTATTATATATAAAATAGTCTGGAAGAACACTATCGACTATGACTAAATTACACTGATATTTTCCATCATTTGAAGATCTAAAAAAGGCATTGTCGAAAGAATGTAAATTACGCTAATGATTATCATCATTTGAAGGTCTAAAAGAGCATCTTTTTGATTATCGGCTATGATTTTTATGTTTCTTATAGAAGTAGTTTACTATTTCCGATGCCGGGCTCTAATAAATATTTTTTTAAAAAGTTTATTATTCTGTTATAGAGCATAGATGCGTTCATTATGAAAAGGTTCATTATAAAAAGGTTCGTTGCAAGAATACCTTCATTGGTCCATCAAAATAAAACTAGGTAGTCGGATCGGATTATCATGTAACTGTGCCCTCCATTAGTGATTTACTGACCCGATTTTATAGGTTTTGCATACCAACTTCGTACATAACACTTTTAATTAAATTGCAATATCTCGTGACCTAGTAACTTAAATTTAGGGATGTTAAAAGTTCGGTTCGGTCCTGTTCGGTCCTGTTTCATAAAAGTTCAAGTTCAGAAACAGTTCGAAAAA